CAGAAATGGCCATCCTAGTCTCCCTTGTCTTTGTCGGTAATGTCCTTCTGCCTATATCGTTAGCCGACTTGCGGTGTAGGCTCGAGTTTGATCTCCAAAGGCACCATGGACGGACGCGTGTGTCCTATAACAGATCGGTGTACGAGTACCTGTCACTATAAAGCATTCGTATATCTCAAATTTGGTTTATTTTAAAAGCCAAATTGTTCAGCATAAACTTAATGAACAATTTAAAACACAGGAAAGGCTGGTCGAGAATCTCTTGTGCTACATTTGTGTCCTAGGACAGTACCGTCAATTGCCAATTGCCACGGCAGGAGGATACATAGTGAACCAGGGCCTCATCAGAGGATGTTTGCTTTGGCAGATTGATTTCCCGAAACATCCTAAATAACGGGTCTTGATGTGACTTGCGGTGGCGCCAGACACTGTCAAAGATTGACAATTTGCGGATTTTTAGCTCATCGCCGTAATACTCTACCAGCAAGTTGACGAATGCTGTTCAATCATACTGCGGTATTAATGAATGCGTCGTATCTGGCATCCTTATCAGTCTCATCTTGAAGTTTGTTATTGTCCTTTTCCATAGGTCGGTATTCACAAGCAGTTTCTAGCTAAAGCATTTCTCTAGTTCGTTCCCATTAACCCACTTAGGCAAAAATTTAGGGTGTGTGTAGGCGGATGATTCGTACGACAGCCCGTTTATCATGGACGAAGAAGTCACGTTTCAGGTACAAAAACTAACAGGCAGAAAGATAAGGATAATAGTCAACCGTTAGGAAAGGAACACTGTGCACATTGTTAACAACCGAAGTCACAACCTTATTGCTCACTGATGCAAGGGTATCAGAAACCCTTTCGATGTGTTTAAACATACTACAGGGAAGGCAATTGGAAGGAGGAAGAGATTAAGTACTAACATGTTCCTTTTAAAGCCAACGGCTGTCCAAATGCCTTGAAAAGAAGAAGGAAAACGCATTTGTCCATGTTTTGTGACGACTTAATCCGAGGTCATAAATCGGACTCATTAACAGAATTCCAACCATTTTGTTGGAATAATACTTCAACCACACAAACGCCGGATATTTGCACGAATAGAAGAAAATATGCGTGCCCGAGGTTCTTTTTGTAAATAAAGGAGCGATCCTTGGGACGCTAATTGTATTATTCTCCAGGAGAGGGACAAAACAGTAAGCCTTAGCGTGTTTGAAGTCTAGCTACGAGTTAAAGGGGGTTGTGGAGGGAGGGAATTTGTGATTGTTCCATGCATTAAATGGTCTATCTTTAAGGATCCCTCGATTCGTCATTTGTGTCTTCGAGTCGTTTGCGTAGGAAGTCGCGTGCCAGGTCTGCAGGGATGAATGTGAATAATGAAGCGACGTCAAAAAATACTTTGGTTTGATCTGGTTAAACCGTTTTTTCTGGGATAGCGGCCAGAAATTGGGAGGCCAAATCAATTGAGCTCCTCGAGCTCATCTAATGCAACTCTTTGTCTTCTGCCAAATAAATGTTTCACCTTATATGGTAGAACATACGAACAGACCAAAGAGACGCCAATGAGTTCCCAGATTTCCAGTCTAATCGCAGAACTGGTCTTATAGGAGATGGAAAAAGTCGTCTTCAGTCAATTCAAAATACGCTTTCTGGTCAGGTAAGGTTAGATTTTATTGAGGGAAATATAAGTAAATACCTTTTAACTTCCTATTGGTACAGGACAGTTTTTCAATGCATTTGATCAGCAGAACATTTCAGAACAGTGGCGTTAGCAGTAATTTGAATTGGGTAAGGGAGAGCCGACAGTGAC